TCAAAGAGTAGACATTGTTAAAGTCCCTTAAGGTGTGAAGCATGAAGCCCAACAATTTATTTGCCCTGTCAAACACATAATCCACATGATCAGTAAATGTGAGCTCTCTGTCAAAGATTACACCCAAATCGCGAATTTTATCTAATTTATCAAGATTAATTTCACTTATATTATAGTCAAAAGAAACTGGATTTTTTATGCAAAAGAAACTTAAGATTTTACATTTATCTATATTTAGTTTAATATGATTTGTATGACACCATTCGACTAGGTGGTTTATATCAGACTGAAGCAGCTCACAATCACCGACCGATCGGATAACTCTATAAATCTTTAGATCGTCCGCGTTGAGGTGAGCACCACTATTTTCAAGATGACATAAGAGGTCATTTATAAAGCAGGAGAATAGTAAGGGTGACAGGTGTCCACCCTGAGGTACACCTGATGTAGCCTTATACTGTTTGGATTTGTAATTTTTAATTTTCACTATTTGTCCTCTGTCATTTAGATAACTTTGTAACCAGGATAGTAAATGATCAACCACACCAATATCACGCAATTTATTCAACAGTACGTAAACTGTACGCAACAGTACATTCAACAATCGTAAACACTCTTGGAAAATGAGTTTTTCTATTCGAAATCTTCACACTGATAAATTACTGACAATCTTTAGTGGCATCTACGGTCAAAAACGTGATTTCTTCCCTCCTACATGCTCCAAATACTCCAACGATTAAGACAACTTTAGCTAACGGCAATTCTTTGTCATCGGCTTCTTTCATAAAGCGTTCTATTTCCAGTTTTGTAAATACTTTTGATTTCTTTGCCTGATATCCGGAAGCTTTTCTTTCTAAAAATGCAATCAAGTTTGTGAATCTACGTTTCTGTTCAGGTAAATCATGGTGCGGAGAGAGCATCGAATATTTACTCCACAGAGTTGACGGCTTTAAGGTAGTGGATAAATAAGGAAATAAGCTAGCAGGAAATAAGCTAGCAATACCTTCGTTCTCTCGACATGTTTTTCTTTGACCCAGGTTTCAAAGTTGGTGTAGGTGGTCTCGTATAAGCTTTTCGACTTCTCGTGGATAGCGCAGTTTCAGCAGCTTGTTGAATATCCAAAGACTCGTCATTATCACTCATTTTTTCACAAAACTTTGTAGGAAATACGGCGACGTTTGAACTTGACAGAACTTTGTCATTAAACAATGCATTAACCATAGATAAAAGACTTATAATATTAAATAGATAGGCAACTTATAATACATTTCAATTTTATTATACAAGGGTGCCTCTGGTAGACGGAGGCTTCCCTTTGTATTTCTTACAAAGGAAAGAGAGGGGTGCGGGGAAGGGGGGTTGTTTTAGTTAATTTAAAATAAATTTAGACATACATGTAAGAACACTTTATGTGCTTTTAATTAGGCCGAACATATTATAAACGATAAATCAACTTAATTAAAAGCATACAGAGTGTTCTTATATGTCGGATATTAATTAAAAAAATATTAAAAAGGCAAGTAATAGTATATATTAAGCTGTTACAGTTATAATTTAATCTTTGGCGGTTTTCAGCAAATAGCAGGCAGTTTTACATAATTTTCCTCCCTTTGAAGTGAATTGGAAACGACTATATAATTTTGGTGTAGGCAAGATTCCCAGTTTGTTTCCGTTTGAGACCTGAAATAATAAAAACAAATTAAATTATATTTAATTATCTGCTGATTATGCTAATATAACGCAACGCTCGTCCTTAATTCCTTACATGCACCGTAAAAAATTTAAATAACTGTTAACTTACCATTGTATCCTTTGGAAGCCCGGTGTACAACAATTAAACTCCATGATAAAAAAAATCTTAGAGTCTATACAAATCACAAATTGTCTCACCATATTTAAAAAACATTGTCTAAAACAGAATACTGCCAAAAAATCTGAAGGAATTTAGTTTTACACATGTTTTACAATAATTCGACAAATCAAACCGTAAAATCACAACAAAAGCGTCTCGTGTCAGTTAAAAATCAAATTTTATTATTGTCAGATTTTGACATTTGCATTGTTGATATTGACAGTTTTAAATATTTTGCGCCTCTGCATCTTGGAGGAAAAACTATTTTTAATGAACTGTCATTTCCATTTAAGTTTCCCAGCCATGGCATTAACAATGCCTTAGAAACCGATTACCAGAACTTTTTAAGAAATGTTTAAAAATAAATAATAATAATAGCATGAGAATCTTAAATTATCCGCGTTCAAATTGCAAATTCAAAAAGAAATTCGTTGCGAAAAGAGTGTTTTAAGCACTGCATTAAAAACGCAATTAAAAATATAAAAATAACAGATAAAATTAAAAATATACCAGCGAGAATAATATATATCCACCACACCATATATTTTAAATTCAAAATCATTTTTGTTAAACAAATATAATCATGAAATTGTTTAGCAAATAATTTCCACAATCATATATGTACATCTTTTTTCTCGTGGAATTATTGTTTGTTGTAGTGCCAATCAATATTCATTCTGTTTAACGTGCGTATATTTTTGGAGTAAAAAACTTTCTGTTTTTACACCTGTGCGAACTAAAACAAAAAGTAGTAAATATGCAATCGCAAATAAACTTTGTCCGAATTGTTTTATCGATAGATTTTATTTAAATAGTATGGTGATGTGATTTTCATGTAAAATTTATTACATGATTTTGTTTACCATTATTCGAATATTTTAAATTACATATTTTTATTAGGACATTTCAACGAGCCCTTGTTTATTTTATAAATTCCGTATGTAAAAAGAGTACAATAAGTTTATAATGTACCGAACAAAGACAGGACACTAAACACGTTGCCAAACGTATGAAATAAACCGGGAAACTGTGCACATCGCTAAGAGACGTGGAAGGGGATATAGCAGATTTGTCAGAAGTGAAGTTATTTGAAGGGTGTTAATTCATTTGTGTTTGTCAAAAACTCTAACGTGATTGGTCGGGCTTAATAGTTGTCTGCTAGGGCTAGACACAAGTGATTTATCGCAGTTGGCCGGTCGACCCAATCAATACCTCTGTCAGTACTTAAAGTTCTAGAGAAAGGTGTTCAGCTTCACGATTTAATTAGGTCTCATGATACTTAATTTGTTTATTTATTAACTAGTCGTTGTAATTTTTCCTATAGCTTGACTTTTTTTAAGTGCAAGCTAGAAACACTTGCATTTTTGGTATAAATAAGTGGAATCGAGTAGGTGTTCGATAGTGGTCGCGCCATTAGAACTCTGAATTCAAAAATCGATATCTCGAAATCTATTAGAAATAATAGATTGTAGTTTTTTCAAGAACTTTGTTAATATTTCTGCTGTGTTTTCTTTATAGACAGTATGTGAAAATGTTTATCAATAAAAAAAATACACGATTGCTGAAAATTGCTATCCTCTAAAAGTAAATGGATGGATTGTTTACAATTTTTGAATAGAAAAAACAACCGTATCGAATTTTTCTTATGTAAACATATTGTAAAATATCCGATCTTGAAAATAAAAAAAGTTTTAATATCTAAAGTGGTTCTTGAGTTATAGCCTGTTATGTGTTAAAAAGTTGAGTTTTTCAAT